GTGCATTTTCTGGTCCAAAACCGATGAAAAATTGAACTTGTTCTGTTAACATTCTGTCTTTTTTACTGTGTATATAAAACAATATCGCATGATATTTGCAGGAAGCCACATGGATAAGCTGTCAGACTTTGTTAAAGGGATACTCCCAGACTTTGTTGCACTGCTATGCCCAAACTTGGAGGAAAACACAGAGTCTCTTCAAATAAAAATAGGATCACTGGAAAGTCGAAAACATGATGTGCATGAAGACTTACAAAGTCATTCTGGAAAAAAACGCAAGAGAGAGGTTGAAGATTGGATGAATAATGTTGAAAACATTATAAACGATTTTGAAACCTTGGAACAAGGAGTACAGCAAAGCAGCAGATTTTATCATGTTTTCAAACGACAAAAGTTGGCTGAACAGCTTGAAAGAATGACCGCACAAGTGACGGAGCTTTTTGCCCAAGGTGAATTTCCTAGCGGGCATTTTCTTGAGGTTGATGAGGGTATTGACCGATTACTGTTAATACCCGAACCGAATGGCCAAGCATTTCAACAAAATTTCCATGACATTTGGACATCATTAATGGATGAAAACGTTGTAAGTATTGGCATTTACGGAATGGGGGGAGTAGGCAAGACGACTCTGGCAAGGCATGTCCATGATAAGCTCTTGAAGGAATCCACGTTCTCGGGTTGTGTTTATTGGGTCACCGTCTCTCAAGAGTTCAGCATTTACAAATTGCAAAGTGACATTGCCGAATTACTGGATCCAAAGATGACACTTGAGAATGATGAGGGGAGAAGGGCAGCTAAACTCTTCCGGGAATTCCAGAAAATGGAGAGATTTGTGTTTATACTGGATGATGTTTGGAAACGAATTGATGCAGAGAAGATAGGCATTCCTTCTAAAAAGGATGGATGCAAGTTGGTCATAACAAGTCGATCGGAAGAAGTTTGTCGTAATATGTGCTGCGAAAATATTACAAAAGTGAACACACTTTCCGAGCAAGAAGCTTTGAACCTATTCTTGAAGACACTTGAACGTGTTGACCTATCTGTGGAAGTACAAGAGATTTGCAAGAAAATGGTAA